ATTCCTCTCGACCAAGTCATCGCTTCTTCTTCCATCCACACCCCAGGTGAGCAAACAACGCACGTCGCGGGAGTCGGTGGGCTGACATGCGCAACACGTTGCCCAGCCATCGGAGCCTGGTGCGTGAAATGACGGTGCTGAGCAGGTCAGTTCCTTTTTCTGTGCCGTAAACAAGGCGTCGTACACGTTTGTTGTTCACGCGGTGTTCCTACTAAATGTGAGCCAAACTGCGAAGGCATCGATGTTCGAACGTAACTAGCCTCTTTATGTCCGCTGATCTTAGGGGCCAGGTTTCGCAACCGTACAGTAAGGTCGAACATACCGCTGCATTGTACACTCTACCCTTCAGAGCGAGAGTGATGTCGCGCCGCCGCCAGAGGTGGCGAAGACTAGCAAAGCACTTCGAGCTTTTGATATACAGTTCGTGATCTCATCTTTGATCCCAAGGGCGCTGATACAACTTTGCAGGTAGTTGAATTTTTGAACGTCTACTAGCTGATCGCCACCAAGGGTCAGCGCAGGAGGCGATCCCTGCCAATCTTTGCAATTCGATGGTGCAAATCAATGCCTGAAGCGGCTGATAGCCAGTGCTAATCTGTCCAGCGCGGCTTGGCACGTTTGTCACCTGTCACAGATTAGGGCAATGTCGTCTGCATGCTCCAAGTCAAGAACTCGTTTTCTTGGGTGTAGCTCCACACCTAAGTCGCGTACCGTAAATGCAATCTCCATGACTTCGTCAATAGCGAAGTTGAAGATGAAAGGTGACAACGAGCATCCTTGTCTCACACCGCTGGATATATTGAAGGGTGGTGATAGCTTACCGTCAGCCCTCACACTGCCCATGCTACGCACGTATAATGCTCCGGTAATGTTTACATATTTCTCGGGCACACCTTTCCTGAGTAGACAATTCCAAAGGGCACATCGATCAACCGTATCGAAGGCACCTTTGATGTCGAGGAACACGACTACAGTGGGCCGCCAATATGTGTGACGGTGCTCCAACAACTGACGCAAACTAACGATGCGGTCGATGCAGCCACGACCCCGACGGAACCCGGCTTGCTCCTCACGTATCTGGTTTTCACGAGCGCCAGTCAGTCTGTGAAAGATTTTGGAGGCGATGGAGATCAGATTGATTCCTCTTTGGTTGCCGCATTCCGAGCGCGAGCCTCCTTTGAAGATGGGAACAATAACGGAGCGGCTCCAGTCGGTTGAGACAGTCTCCTGCTCCCACAGTTTCACTAGTAATTCATGCAAAGCATCCACAAGAGCAGAGCCTCCGAATTTGAAGAGAGCTGGAGGAAGATCATCTGGTCCCGCGGCTTTGTTCAACTTCAACCCTCCGATATCACGTTTGACTTCTGAGCGGGTGGTTGCATCCACAGAAACAGCCCACGGAGCAGGGCGATCACTGACCGGCGAAGAATCGAACAATTCTGACCGATTAAATTGCTTTTCAA